CTGGTCTCCAACTCCTGGCCCTCAAGCGATCCTCCCACCTCAGCCTCCCAAAGTGATGGGATAACAGGCATAAGTCACTGCACATGGCCAAATTTTTAAAAATTAAAATAACTCCAAGTCCCATAAGATGTCTTACATAATATTTAAAAATAATGCATGAGCTATTTTAATCAGGTGTTTTATCTTTTTAAACATTATTTTTGAAATCATTACTAATAAGTTTTTTAATAAGTAACTAGAAAACTGGTTGGAAATTTTGAGGGCCTTGCTGGGTAGGAAAAACACAGCAGCACTCAGGTGAGACCTGTGATTTAGATACCATCTCCACCTGCTGGCAGCAGTGACAAACACCAGGTCCTGGTGTTTTGGGGCTGAAATAAGAGTTTGAGAAACTATCAACTTTGAGTTGATAGTTGACAGCAAATGTCACAGGCAGTAATACACTGAACAGTTCCCTCGACCTGTTGCAGGTCTTTTTTGGGATAGACTAGAGAGGTTTGCACATGTGTACTTCAGGATATGTGGCTGCTAATGTTTTGGCTTGGTGAACTTCTTAAAGGAATGTTGTGACTTCAGCCAATAACCTGGATAACCGGATAACCCGGCTTCATCTCTGCACGCTCTGCTGCTGGAGGCTGGGCAGCAGAAAGCCCCAATTCAGGCAGCATTAGAGACAGCGCACTGAAAGGTGGCCACGACGTGCTCCACGCTTTTCTGCATGCCATGAGCACTTTTACCTAGATGGGGTCTGAATTCAAACCAAGTTTATGGGTCTTGAGGTTAAAGTGCTTTAAAAATAAAAATCTGTCACCATGGAAAAAACAATTTTAAAAGCCCTGTTGTGAGCCTTGGAACTGTTTCTGGCAGGGCAGTTTGTGTATTTTCTTACCAAATGTGCTGAAACCCTATTTGGCTTATCTCCTTGTTTGGATAAATGTGTCTAGAGTTGGAGCTGCCTTACTGGCTGATGAATTATTTTTCTAAATGTTTGGCTGGGCTTGATGCAACATAGCCAGAAAGACATTCCTTGCATCAAATTTCCATTTCCCTCATTTGGTAAAGGACACTTTTCCTGTCGATCTTTGCCACAGAAAGCAATCTTTGTGTACCTTTCCATGTGTCCATAAATAATTCAAAAAGCTATAAGCTCGCTCTTTCGAAAAGTAAACAATTCCCTTTACCTGTAAGCTGAAGGACCTGGGAGAGTGCTTGACATGCGATGATTTCTCAAGTCAAAGCCACTATTCTGCCTCACTGAAAAAGGTTGCTGCAATCAAAGGGAAGCTTTGGATCTGTATTAAAACTCTATGAGGGAGAATGAATAAGCAAGACAAAGTGCTTCCAGCACAGAGCTTTTCCATCGTGCCAAGTTCTACTTTCACCTTATAAAGTGCCGACTACATCCTGTCCTAACGCCAGAAGGCTGCCTTTCACCCTTATAACGGACTACAGGACTGTTCTTCAAGGTACAGTTCTGAAATGTTCTTCAGTCCTCAAAGATTTACGGGAAATAATGCATGTCCTATGATTCAAGGCAACTTGATTTAAAACAGGCTTGATGCTATGAAACCTTATTTACAAAACCTTAATTACAAGTTATAATTAACAAGAGAGCTGTTACTTTTCCCAAAGTCTGTTTCTGAGTAGCCTCTAACGAGTAGGTCAGGTTCCAGCAGAGCTTCAAGTCTAGGGTTTCTGGTTAAGGACTATACTTCCAAGCTTCTGGCTAGTTTCTCTGATAAACCAAATACCTTATTTTCCAGGAAAACAGATCAGGCTTAAAGTTCCACTAACCTGAAGCATAGCAAAGGAAAACATTACTTTCTTCCCGAAATATTTCAGAATGGAATAATTTATAAAAGTATAAATGTCTAGAGGATGGAAAGTTACACAAAACATCCTGAAAAACCTATCAATTAAACTACATTTGAGTTTATTGTTATTAACCCAGAAAACAGAGTTTATTGAGTGCTCAAATCTCCATTTCCACAGCACAATGGAAAAAGACTTAAATCAATTATTCTGGTAACTAAGCAAAAACAACAATAAAAGCCCTAAAATGAAAAATAAAGCATGG